GAATTCCTCGTCTACTTTAAAATACTTCTAGAAAACAGTACTCATGCAATAATTTAGATTCGATGGGAAAGTCGCACATCAAGTTTCAATTCTTTTACCGATACTGTCAATGGCATAGCTACTCGGCCCACGGCCCGCTAATGGAAGGTAGAACGTAAATGTCATCAGCCCACGGCAGGTCGCTAAATTGATGTAAGCTGGAGGGTAATTTAACCAAAGACATGCATATTGCCAATTAAAATTTCAAATGGCTGCCTTTAAAAATTCCTTTAACAAAGACACTACCAAATAATCAGTTATTTATGTATACAAATGTTTAATAAAAAGAGATAGTTTTAGAGCTCCTCATCTTGACAAAACCGATTTCCAAATCCAGCGTAATCCCCGCAACAGACCATCATTTCACCATAAAAAATATCGTTTAATGCTCGATCCTCTTATAATTATACCCTTCAGAAAATGCATTAAAATACAAGAATAAAAAGTACAAACAGGAACGTTGTGAACTGGAATTTTAAATAAGCTAATTTTAAGAATTTTGTGGATTATTTTTGGCCTATATGAACCGACAGTTTTCTGCAGCAAGCACCCAGCTTAAAATAAAACATCAAAATGTGGCCCTCGAAGAGCGAAGACTTTCAAAACTATATTGTCACTCTTTTCTGGGATTGGCACCTTATTATTTTATATGGCTTGAATAAAAACAGTCGTTCATCTGGACATTAATTTTTCAAAGAAATGCTTTTTTTGTTTTCTAGTATCTACGCAGATGCTTCGCGCGCAAAGGGTCGAAAAGACTCAATAAAGAACGGAAGTAGAATTAAAAGGTAATAAATGTTCCATGTCCTTCGCTCAGTCGTTCTAAGCGCTTCGTCACGACTAGCTTCCTCCCTTACGAACGTCGTTCGTGGGAGAAGACGATATAACAAAATCCGGCGAAGTAGTCTGAGAAGGAAGCTATAATGTTCCTTATATATATATGAAAAATGAACTGCAGAATTAAAAAAAATAATTCTAACTGCAAATGCAGTTCGGTGCGTAGTAAATGTATTAACCCTTTAAGTCCCAATAGTGACCAACAGCAATTTTCTCCTAACGATATCCATACATTGTCATGAGATGAGGTTATGAGAATTAATAAAATGATCACCTACGAGAAACTACTTTGATCTTTTATCAAATTCTCTTAACTAATTCTTAAAGGAAATGTATAGAGATCAGTTTGGAGAATTTGTATGTGGATATTGGGGCTTAAAGGGTTAAGATGAAATGCATTAAATGAAATCTTATGCATGACGATTTTACCTGCATTTTCTCAATTCCTATGAAATTTGAAGTCTATTTTCTTTTGCTCCCATGAGAATCTTTTCTTTGAAGTTATTTCACATAAACTTATTACATTTATAGCCCTTAAAAATTGTCAAAAAGAATGCGATTCTCGGGCTTAAAATACTCTGGTACAAGGGTAAGGTTTTTGTCCACTAAAAACTCGATTATTTCTTCTCTTCTTGCCCCTTTAAAATAGTTCCCTTTTCTTTTTTGTTGTTTTTTTTTCCAGTTTTTTCTCCATTTATAGTTTGTACTATCACGAAACTGGAATACGTTCGTAGACTAGCTGGGGATGCAACTAGAAAGGGGGCCTTACACTTACAAAACTAACGGGAAAAGTCTATACCGGAAAAACCATGAGAAGTAAATACACTGGAGAAAACTCTAACAAAATACCCCTACGATCGGCTTAGAAAAGAATCGTTGAAAAATCGAACCATTAAAAATAGCAACGATAAAATTAAAGGAACAAAACGAATTCTCACCAGTTTCTAGGTCGAGTGGCAGCGGCGGTAGTGAGTATCTTGAACCTTTTCCCCAAGGTAGTTGATGAGTTCACGAATAGTAAGGGTGTCCCGATACAACGGAATTCGTCTTAAACAGTGCTGCAATGGTGACTATTTGATATTAATTAATATTTAATAACAAACAAAACGACAAATGTTGTCATTAGTAAAATGCATTAGTTGTAGAGTATCAGATTCATACAGCAGAGTAAATTGATCATCAAAATTGGCTTTCTAAACTAAATTTTTAAAATAAACACTTTGGCCACCGGTCATTTCGCTCCCGATCGACGGCAGCCAGAGGCGCCCCGCTCAGTAATATTTTTCTTTTTAATAAGGCAACTTAAATTTTCTTTTTACATCAACAAAGAATTGTGCCGGAAATGGCAGAAAAAACAGAACAAAATTTTCAAAGGAGTACTTAACGCTGTATCAAAAGTTTCTACTCTTATCCTAAATTTCAGGATTTTCAGTACCCCTAATAAAATCAGAATCAATGGTTATTTTTTTGTTCAGTTCTAGAAAAAAAAAATCCTGTATTGAATAAAAAGCAAATTCAATGCTGCAGTTGATTACTTTTAGTAGGTGAATGGAGATCTTATATGGAAGTCTCACGTGTTTTTATTTTTTCAAAATTATATATCGACAATGAGCTCAATTTTTAAGGAGTGTGAATAAAAATAAGCAGGTGAATTAAGTATTAGTCATGAGATTCGATGTCAGGTTTGCAAATAATAGGACCTCGAGTTCCACAAACACTTTTTTGAATTACAGTAGAATGTTATTTCTCTTCTGAAGACTGTCGATTGCAAATTACATTTTCTTTCTTGTACTGATATATTTAATGCTTCCATACGGATAGCATCACAATCTAAATCGTGAACGTTTACAAGACGTTTCCCTTTAATGATAATTAAGTTTCTTTACCTGTTGCTAAAAACTATGCACTTCAAACTTTCATTTGGTTATCGTTACTTGTGTAACTCTTTCTAATCTTTGTAGATTCCGTATAAAAATGTTGCTTGGGTTTCATAGTCTTTTAGTTTTGTAGCATGCGTAATTGACTCTTAACCCACACTGAAGCCTTTTGTTATAATTATTGGAAACAGCTTTCTCGAATCATCTGTTTTGTTAGAGACCTAACTTGCTTCAGGGCAAAAGTCGTAAAATTCGTTTTATTCTTTTTATGTGCTACTTTTTTTACCATCTATGAAAATGCCATTAAAAAATAGTGTTCAGTTAAGGTAGCAGCGAGGCAAATCATGCTCTTATTTCGTTCTGATGCCAAATGGGAAAGGTAGTATATATTTAGAGTTAATTGTGCTGGCTAGTGGGAGTTCAAGCCTAATCTGACCTAAAATATGCATGGCATGATGCCCATTATGAAGCCAAAACGTTTTAAAAGTTGCTTATTTAAAATTCCTGTTGACTGCAAAATGTTTGTAAATAGTTCTGTACCACACATTGAGAAAATGAAATTTCCCAATGTAAATCGAAAATCTAATTATCACATTTATATCCACAAATCGACCAAATTTTCCGCGTCTATAACCAAACGTACAATTACGCTTAGCCTATTAAATGTGTCCGTAAAGAGGCCCGGGCTCTGCAGTTGCCATAGTAACAGTTGCATGTCTGGTTCCGAAAGTGCCCGTAAATCAGTAGTTACCAACTGTACCTTATTATTCTATCAATGTTAAAATGATAAATGAGCACGAAAGATAACTTCAGCCGTGTGATTTGGTTGAGTCTCGTGATTAGTGACCGGGAATTAAAAAAATCCAAAGCTTTGACATGAAATATATTGCATAAATGAATAAAGTAAAAGGTCTGATTAATGTTGCTTGACGCCATAACAAGTACATATGTGGTTACTTTATTTTCAAGACGCTTAGTCTGAGCTCTTGCACTACCTAGTATGATTCAATCAATGGTACGAGGAGGTGCGAAGAGAATGAGTAGGAAAAAAACTAGATTCATTTTATGAATGATATCTATTCGTAGTTTTCACATGACGTCAGTCACCAACACTCAACCCAAGAATTATCAATTTTCCTAAGATTTTGCTTTAATTAAGTGTCAAAGCAGCTAAAAATTTATGTTTTTATAAGTTTTTACTACGAAAAGGTTCTTTGTTTCGTGAAAGAGTACGCTTGAATTTCTAACCTTTTGTGTGATACGGCATTTACGTGACAGCCGAGAGAGTTGCCACGCAGGTTAAAGACTTGACTTAGTTCGGGGGATGTGGCTAGGCGTTCGTAGCATGACATACTACTAACAGTGCTCGTATATTTCTAAAATTATGTCAGTTTTTGTAAATTACGCTCATTTAGCAAAAATGTATGCAGAAATTACGCCTGTACTTTTTAGCGGAGCTCGTCGTACCTTGTTTCCTTGTTGGGTTTAATTTCTTTCACTGCTGGAGGAGCTTCATGCCGTTAAATTACTTTTTTTAAATCTTAATGTATTGGATGTATGCCTGGTACTTACAGCTACGACGCCCTCGTGGTAGCTGCACCATAATTCCGATGTGGTCAGCAATGGATTGGAGCGAAAGTACTCTGCCTGGAGACTCCATTAATGGTCTAGTTGAAAAAGATACTGAAAGTCTCCACCTGTGGCGCATTCATTCGTCAAGGCGTAAACAAAAGGGGGATTTCCTGGCCTTCTGAACCAGTACCATTCCCCGGTCCCACCTAGAAAGTCTCGCCTTCGGCACTCCTTGAGGGCGAATTTCTCATCCATATTGTTTTTCACTCAATTATGCCCACCTACTTGCTTGAAGGCTAGACCCAGCAAGGCTAAAAAAAAGTAATGCCTAGAGCCCGTGTTTGTGTCTTTCAATGACCATTAGCTGTTGGTAGCTATATCTGTAGGTATTGCAGCTCCTAGCCTGTGCCCAAATAGTTAACTGGCCCACCTCATGCCTGCTGGGGGTTTTAATTTACTACATTCTGTTCACTAGAAACTTGAAATATATATTTTTTAAACTGTTGTATTTCCTCAGTAAAAGCTCCATGTAACCTAGTTGCCTGTAAACAGCAATTTCGAAACCAACAACATTAAATAATTTTGATTCATTTATTTACAAGTACAAATGAAAAATGTATGAAATGTCTTTTCCATTCCTTGTTATCATCTTGGCTGAAAGCTACTTGGAGGCTTTTAACTCTCCCAGCACTCTAACATGGAATGTCTGTGTTTCAAAGAATCATAACGGCTTTTTACTTTGATGATACGTGGCCGTATAAGATCTGTGTCTGTGCCTAACTCGTGCTTCAGTTCCTTCAGACCGTCTGTTCCTAAGTCAAAGTGCATCAAGAAGTATCTAAAGAAAATAAATATAGACAAGAACATATTAAGGTTTTCCTATATCAAGATAATGATAAGAATTCAATAATAATAGAAACTTTATTGTGTTTTTGAATGTACAATTGTAAATCTCGCTACGTATAGGCAATTTACAAATGCAGCTTGAGATTGGATTATTTAAAACAGAAAAGAAAGAAAGAAAAAAGAAAAAAAAAAACCCAACTGCATTAAGTCTGGGCTATCCCAATTCCTATTTCTACAACAAAAGATGTAATATGTTGCTCTAACGAAGGCTATATTTATCATTAAATGATAAGAACATTTTTCTTGATTATATAAAGTTGCTGCGTTTTATCAATGCCAATGTTATTCATCATGTCTAAGAACATGGAGCATTCATCGGAGAAAACGCCAAGAGAGCTCAAAGAGAGATTTACAAATTTCACACATCTGTAATTTCTACTCATTTCTTTGATCAAGTTCAGATATTTTTCTTTTTTACGCACTGCATTGTTATTAAGGTTAGACTCGAAACCAACTGTTAATTCTAGAACATATAGGCACTTGTAATAATAGTGATAGTAATAATAATATCTTGCTGCAGCAAGCATTTCTACATAAGTTTTTTCAGCAGAACATTGAAAACAAGAGCACTTTTATCACGCTACGAACTCGCACGGAAACACTTGCTACACAGGCCAAGATAGTAACTATGCAGAGGCAAAAGTCAAGGAAAGTGAATTATCAACCTCATTCCCAAGATTTTCTCTTCTTCTTGGGAATGAGGGTAGGTGGAATGCCTGTGCATAACATGCTACATGTAATGAAAACATAACCCTTTCAATCCTAACAGTGGCCAAAGATAAATTCAATAAAGAATTCTATTTTTTTTTTGTAAAATCCTAAGAAATGAATAATAGTATGAAATGAAAAAGTTCAGCCAGGGTGGTTTAATTTTATCATAATTTAAAAGTTCTACTACACTGCTGATAATATATACACAGCGGAACCTCGATATAATGAAGGGTCAAGGGACTGACCAAATATGCTTCCTATAACTGAGTAGGTTTCATTATATCAAGGTTCTTTTCCACATAACTATTTCTTGGGCTAGGAATATTGTTTGTCATACCAAGGAGTTTGTTATATCAGGCAGGTGCGGATCCACACTTGTTTACGCCATTTTTATGGAAATTCGTCAAATTTTACTTAATGAATGTAATATTTTTAATAATAAAAATACTTTCCAAGTTGAAATCTTACTTCATATCTGGCCTTGACGAAATGATCCGCCGATTTGCAAGGAGAAAGGAACTGGCCAATAACCTGTCTTAATGACTCAGAAACCCAAGAAAGGGGACTTATCTTAGATCTGTGCCTGTCAGGAGCCCATAACCTGGAGCATGCAACTCACATGCTTGGCCCATGCAACAGTGTTTTACAGATCAGTTTATTTTTAGCATCAGTTTGGAGTACTTTTCGCATAAAAACAGAAGCACCTTTTCATATTTGTGCCCATCAATAGTACGAAAATACCTACACCAAAAAGAGAGAGCAAATACTCATGTCTGTCAAAACATCAGAAATACATTTTTTAGTCTCCAGTTTTTGCTGATTGATTTGTAAGGCTTATTTGATACATGTAGTCAAAATTCGTGGGAAAATTGATCTAAAAATAAACTGGTCTGTGAAAATGCTGTTGCATGAGCACAAGGGAGTTGCTCACTCCAGGTTATGGGCTCTTGGTTATATACATGTTGAGGTTTGAACATTAAATTGAGGTTCCACTGTAACTTAATAATTTCTTTTCACGTTGTACTTTATTAATGGCTACCAACATACCTCCCATGTGTATGCCATTCAGTATATGCTCTCATCCTGTGGGGAAGCTCTTGCTCTCCTAGGTTTTCCATTTTTCGTACTACTCCCCCTTTGTCCATAATAGATAGAGCTGTCCGACGAAGAACAGAGGCAAATCCCTCCAGTCAAAAAAGCACAACATTTAGTCTTGAAAAACCCCCTTTAACCCTTTAAGCTCCAACATCCATACAGAGTTTCTCACATTTCCTTTAAGAAACAAATCAGACTATTTAATAAAGGATAAAAATATTGTCAGGCAATCAAACAGCTTAAGTTCTACATGTTCAAAAAAATTGTCATCTGATCAAACAGCTTAAGCTATTCTGTTTAAAAAAAAAAAATCAGCCTATTCCCACAGCACAGGCTTGAAATCAAAAGCTCGTTGGGTCTTTGTTGTGGCTTTACAAAGTCTGACAAGTACATGTATGTACATTTACATGCTTTTGCTTTGAGAAGAGTTGACATGGCTGTCAACCCCCCATGACTTCAAATATATTGAGAATTGATAGGGAGGTATCACAGGAAAATTTTTTAAAACACATTAATGTTAAAATAATGGGAAATACCAAATTTACATTTTTACAAAATTCCCATCAATGGGATTTTTCTTGAGAAAATTTTTTATACCTAATTCCCATTAATGTAAATTACTTTTTTAAATGTACTTTTATGAACTCCCATGAATGGAAATCAACTCAATAATGCCAGTGATGGGTATTTGAAATCCACTAATGGTTCTCTATCAAAAACCATGAATGGTAAGGAAGTATAATCCATTCATGTAAATATATGAAGTATAACCCATCAAGTGAAATGTATATTCCTATAAATACCATGAATGGAAATCAACTCAATAATACCAGTAATGGGTATTTGAAATCCACTAATGGTTCTCTATTAAAAACCATGAATGGGAAGGAATTATAATCCATTCATGTAAATATATGCAGTATAGTCCAGATGTAAAATGTATAAATCCCATGAATGGAAATCAACTCAATAATACCAGTAATGGGTATTTGAAATCCACTAATGGTTCTCTATTAAAAACCATGAATGGGAAGGAATTATAATCCATTCATGTAAATATATGCAGCATAGTCCAGATGTAAAATGTATAAATCCCATGAATGGAAATCAACTCAATAATATCCTCTATTAAAAGCCATGAATGGCAAGGAGTTGTATTCTGTTCTTTCTTTGTTAAAAAAGGAAAAAAGAAAACGGTAGTTTCTCTAGCAACCTTTGTGGCTTGCTGGGTGTTGGGAAAGAGGGGTACAACAATAGTGAGGGACCCACAAACTGCTATGCAGCTAAGTCTGCTGCAGTATTGCGTAAATAAAAATCATAAAAAGAGTAAGAGGAGGTTAATTGAGGTAGTTATTATGGATGAAGTTTCCAGCAACTGTTTATTGAATAGCCAGAGATGGCTTTTGAGCTTATAAAAGCTTAAACAAAAATGATGAATTTCTCCATTAACCATCCTTTCTTTTTACATCAAGCAACTATATTTCCAGAGCTTTGGTCGGTTTCCCTTAATGAATGTTCTATTACCATCATGTGATGTTATTGTTAATCGCATTATCCTAATTGTATGATTTCAAAAAAGCAATCATTTTTTGCACAAAGAAAAATCTGAAAACCTTGAATTCTATCAGAAGGAGCAAAATAATAAATAATACTTTATGGAACCTTTTTTCCACAATAACGCCGACATAACGCATGGGGGTCCTCCAGTTATCCATATATATACTCCCTTGAAAGTCTCAGTCTCCCTCCAGTTTTCGGGCCAGTGTTCAGTAGTACTGAAACTAACGTAAGGTCATGATCAATTTCACAAAACAACTTCGTCTTGTAATTGGCATAAAGTCTAACACATCTTTGAAGTCATTGATAAAGACCTTTGTATCTGGACATCATTACAAGCATCAGTGATCCACAAATTGCACCGTGCCATTATTAATTTGTATTTTACCTCAATGCTTCAGCGTTTCGCCAGGCCAATAAGGTCCGGTTCAGACGCCGCTCCACTCATGTGCCGAACCTAACTGATGAATTAAGTACGGCAAAAGAGCGGCGTCTGAATCAATTTGGTACGACAGTTTTAGTTTGGTGTAGCCTCCCACGCAGGCGTTTTTAGGGGAGCTCGTATTTCTTCCCTCCCCACAAACGCCTGCTCAACAGAGGACAACATTCCTTTCCCACGCTTAGCCAATCACGCTGTACTTTCCAAATTCTGGAAAGTTGACCTTGACCGCAGGGTAACCCGATAATCACGCGATCTGCATGAAACTTTAAGAAACCTCCGTGACCTCTAATAAATGTTAGTCTCGGAGTGGCAAAAGTAAGATTTACTCAGTCAGATTTTAGAATTCTCTGTGCACCGCATAACCTTAGCGAACGAAAGAAAAGAAGGAAAAAGGTAACTCTAGGGTCACGTTCTGGGTCACGTTTTTTCACTATCACGAGCTTATGAGTCATGTTTAGCCTATCAACACTTTATTTAAAAACGGTTGATTGGTCACTTACCACGCGAATGTAACAATGGGAAAGGAATGTTGTCCTCTGTTGAGCAGGCGTTTGTGGGGAGGGAAGAAATACGAGCTCCCCTAAAAACGCCTGCGTGGGAGGCTAAGTTTGGTGCGGCAAGAGCGTTAAGTTCGACAGAGTCTGTCGAACTTTTGCCGAACTTAACGTAGGTTCGACACACGGTACGCCGCCTGAATCAGATGTCGCGCCAGTGTCGCTCCAAAGACGAACTTATTCAGTTAGGTTCGGCACATGAAAAGTACGGCGTCTGAACCAGGCCTAAGTTGAAGCGGAGAAGGCACTGCCGTAAAAGCGCTGAGCGCTTTTACGGCGAAAACACGGACTGTTCAGGCTAGAGCAGTAACAAATAACGATGTCTTCTCTCGGTCAGGATTTCCCAAGAAGTTGTCTCTTCGCTCCAATCATTGCTTATCCTACTATTTTAAGCTTACCGTATTTTGTCAGTGAATAATTTGTCGATCCTTGGGATGCAAAAAATTCTGGCCGCCATCATATTTTTCGTTGGAAGATTGGGCAAGAGTTGTTTCATATTACCATATATGGTAGCATACTTTCCCGCCATTTACTTGAAGATCATTCTCTGTTAGTAGCGAACATTCGTTAATTTCACCCACGAAACTTGTGGAATATGGAGAATAAAAGTACAAATTTAATCGAATGGACAGTTGAGGATGTTAAAAAGGAAATTCAAAAGACGTCTAACGAAGATATAGGGAAGAAATTTGAAGGTAAGATAAAAATTATGAACTTAAGATCGGCAAAAGTGCAAACTCGATCTCTTGAAACTTCGCTCAGTTTTCGTTGAAAATATACTTCAACTAACGGCAATTATTGAAGTTAAACATTTTTTTAGTTTTATCGACTTTTTTGGTGTTTTGGCTGCGTAACCTCTGACTGCTAAGACAATAAGTAGCTTTCTTGACACTTCACGCCCTCTTTTGTTGCAGTTTTGCGAGGTCAAGTGCTTGCTTTACATTTCCTTATGGCTTCATTTTTTTAGAACAGAAAATTGACGGAAAGGCTTTGTTCTTCCTCTCAAGAGAGGGATCTTTCGCTCAGTTGGATGTTTGTGGTCTCAGCACCGTAGGAGACCAAATGCGCATGAAAGTATCAGAAGTCCCTGGTGTTAGTGTTGATTCACATGGCGGACGACGAAACCACAAACCATCTGTGATGAACATTAAAAAAAGTTCAGAAATGAATCAACGTATATACAAGGCCAAGTGAGTGATCAAACAATTAGCTGGTAACAATTTTTTACCTGATCTATAATTTTCCCAGGCCATTTTCAAATTTATACCTTATAATGAAACAGCATGTAATTTTTTCTTTGCTTTTCTAAGAAATGAACATGAATTATAATGCGGAATATTATTTTTGTTGAAGCATTTTTCAGAGACAGATGGTCAGTTTCATTCTGTCATTTTCAGGAGAAAGGCAGTTAGGGCTGCTGCTATCCAAATGTGGCCAGGAAATGACATACCTACTTTCAAAAACAACCAAGAAGCTGAGCAAAAGCTAGATAGTTTGGTAAAGGATCTCGAGAAGGAGTGTACATTTGCGCCATTAAATTTTGGAATGGAGGGGATAAGACAACACATCCTAGATGTGCTGAATGAACGGCGAAGGCACGTGAGAAATGGATTTGACTACTCTCTGGTAAGCTCACTGTTTTAAGATTTCATCTAAAAATGAAAACAACAAACAAAACAGTTTTCCAAAAATTGCCTAGAGCCATCAGTATGTCATGGGTAAGAAAGGCAACTGATTATTAACTGTCTCACCCATACTATACTGATGGTTTAGACAATTTTGGTTAACTGTCCTGGACTCTTTGTGCCCTGTGCATGTGACGTTATGTTGTACAGAAAAAATGATTTTGGCTCATATTATTAAAAACTGTTTTTTTGGAAACCTAATTGCAGCCAGATAAGAGAACCCTTAAAAGAAAATTAAAAGTGAAGAGTGACCCCTCAGGTGGAGAAAATAGCAGCAACAATTCATCAACTTTGTCAGATCAGTCAGGTGACACAATGTCAGTCCATTCAAGTGAAGAGGAAGACAGTACACCAGTGAAGCGCCTGAAAAAACTGATCCACAAAGAACAAATTCAGTCTGAGAGTGAAGATTCTTCTGATGAACCACCCGTTGCCTCTCAAAATAAAAATGTCAACTTTGCAACTAATACAGAGTCTGCTGAAAAGGACAAAAAGGTAAATACTTTTCATGGCTACATGTTTATAACTTATGCTAGCACTTGTTACTGCTAATTTTCTGTGGTATAAAATCCAATAATTGAGCATGTAGCTATAGTTAAGTCAAGCTAACATGACAGAGTAACTGTGGGCCAGTTATTTAAACAGGGTTTAACCAGTGTTTAACAAAACCACATTCTAAGCCATTTTCAGTTTGCCGAACCCTTTTATGTAAACACCATTTATCATGAACAGTTTCATGAAAGCATATGGAGTAAACTAGAAGAGCATTTGTCTTCTTAAAATAACCCACTAACAAAGTTATCTGGAGGTCCAAAGATTTTCTAAACCATGGTCTAAGTTAGACTTCGTTTAAATAACCGACCCTGTATGTGCAGGAAGAACGATTAAGAACATATGCACATGCTTAGAATTTTTTGAGAGTTGTTTGGAAGTTTGAGAACTTGCTGCTTTGTTCATCTTATCCATAACATGTTATTTTACCAGTACTTCTAGTTTCAGGCTCGAGATTTTTTTCATTAAGAAGTGATTTTACAAAACTGAGGATTTTAAGTGTAAACATGTAAACTGTTAAGTTCCAGTTTCTAACACCTTTCTGTGTTCGATGTAGGGAGAGATCACTGTAGACTCTCATTTTGTTGGCTACATGCGTGGTGTAAGATACAGCTGGTTTTACTTCTTTTAAGATCCTTATAGAAATTAAAAAAGATGCTTGTATTACAAATATAGCCAGCTGTTCAACATATACTTTTCTGTCAGTCTAGAACCGTCTAGAACCTCTTCAGTACTGTAAATTTCCTGCTCTATTAAATATGTATTTTTTGTTACTCTTGCATGTCACAGACAACAACCATGATGATCGTGGTGCTTTAAATTTCCTGCTCTAATTTACATTTTGTTTCTCTTAGCTCTCACAGACAGAGCAGCCACGTTGATCATTTGTGTTGCCTACAATGCTATTAAACTATCAGATGTGGCACGAAGCCAGTTACAGTCATCTGGAAAGCGTCTTGGATTAAAAAATCTTAACAAGGAGGACAAGACTTCTTTAGTTCGCCTTGTGGCACAAGGCCTCCTCGATCAAGGTTATGTTAAAATAGTGGGCAGCTTGAAGAGTCCTTCAAGAAATGACATCTGTAAAGTAAAGCCATTCTAGATATGGACATGATGAAGTAACTCACAAATTATTGTGTTATTCAGAAGAGCTGGTTTGTACAGTTGTATGGTGGTTCAAGCTATCACGAAATTTACCTCTTCAAAACTTTAGTGTAAAAATAGGCTCACCCATGTTATCACTGTTCCTTTTCTGTTGGGTATAGATATTGTGGTGGATTGCCTTTCTTAGCTTCTGCAATACTCAAACTAAGCAGTAGACTGAAGTGTGCGACTAAAACTTAGACTGTACAGGTTTTCTTGGTTACATGGAGCTTAAGAAAGTCTTTAGGGGAATTTAAGTCTTTGCCTGACTATTTTTATGAAGGGTAATATTTAGGACAATTCAGCAAAATCAAGCTGAGAAAAAAAAGAAAAGAAAAAAGAAGTGAAACGTTGGGAAAGGCAATGCAAACATGGTGATAGAAATGTAGATCATCATCAACGTACAATTCAAACAGTCTTGTATGTTGACTTTTTATGATGATCTGATTCATATTAGGATAGGATAGATGTTTACATTTGTTGCTGTTACTAACATTTCTCTGTATATGCATGTAATAAGAATCAAGTTTACATTAAAGAAGGTTTGATACAGTTTTTAAACTGCAGGTTCCAATCTGATGAACAAAATTATTTAATTTGTGTGGAACCATTGTTTGAACAGGTTAATTAAGATGTACCATTTATAGGTAAAAAAAAGGAAAACATTCTGAATATAATACACCCTGTTTTAAGGTAAAAGCTAGTGTCAGTGGGAAGTTAAAGAAACATGCCTGTTTAAATTCCAAAGGCCATGATAGGGAAGTTCAATATAGAAACTCGAATTGCATGGTTTTAAATTTCATGCTGGTTTTTCTTGTTTTCCTAAAATGGTTAAGGGTGCAAGAACCGTAGTGTTTACTGTTTTATTCAGACTGGTTAAAGATATAAAAACCATAATTGGAAGTTGCAAAACATGTACGTTTTTAAGGCAAAACCCATGGGATGGATGATATGAAAACGCTAATGTTTTTAAAACCTAAACCACAATGGTTGTTCTCTATTTACAAAACTGGTAAAGGCTATAAAACCATTAATGGGAAGGTTAATAAACATCCATGTTTAACATATTAAAACCCACAATGGGAAGTTAAAAAACACCTGGTTATTTTTGAAAACCCACAATGTTTTTCATGTATTACCCACAATGGCAAATCCCATAAAACCATGATGGGAAGTTTAAGAAACATGCATGTTTTAAAACTAAAACCCACAGTGTTTTTCATGTATTATCCACAATGGTAAATGCCATAAAACCATAATGGAAAGTTAAAGAAACATGCATGTTTTAAAAATAAAACCCACAATGGTTTTCAAAGATTAACCATTCATGGTTTCTTCTCACAAACCATTGATGTTAAGTATTCGACTTTTCCATTAATGGTTTGATTATGGTATATTACACAATAACCATTTAAAAAAACATTAACGGATTTTCCATTTTTTTTCCTGTGATATAATGTGGATGATGTCATAACGCATGACACATGATGTCATTTGTGCAAAAAACACTCGTTGACTCTGATTATCACGAATTTGTGAATCACAAAACACGTGAAAACGATGTTGCCTTTGTGTCATTTGACCCAATTGGTTTACTTTCCACCAATCACATTGTTATATTACAAGGGCATACCAAAGTTTATAAGGAAATGTTCAATGTTAACACTAGTAACAGTTGACACTACAGCTGCCCCCACTCTGTATGTTGTCAGTCAACTGTATTCTTGGTCGTGGTGTAGCTCTTTGAAATATACCGATTCATAATGAAGATTTTCACACATATTCCATGGAGATGAAAACAGCAAAAGCAAGGTTCCATGTACTGATTCAGTTTGATTTACACAGAAGAAGAAGTTGGAATTTTTCACTAATTCTCTTTCAGTTTTTGCATACAGTTCGTTTTAATAGCTGGAAAGTAAGCCTTAGAAATTAAAAGGTTTGATCAATTCATGCTTGTGCGTTCTAGTCATTTTGTAAACTATTAGCAACACTTTTAAAAAAACTTTACAGAAGGACATCTGTGAGCAGGGAATAATGTCAGCACAGAATTTAATTGTCGGTGAATTTCTGTAATAGTCCACAGTTCTGCTAGTGATACGCTAGCCATTGATTCACTCATCTTGCTTTTTTGTGTCTTATTCCCCCAAAAAGAGAGAAAGAGTGTCTGGCAAATTGTTTCAAATAAAAGATTTGTGAATGATACTCGTGTCTGGCAACCTCTCCAAGTGTTCATTTATGCATACTCAGTTTAATACACACACCTTATAACTTCATCTGTACTTAACAAGTGTCTTTTTGTCCATAACTTTCTTCACAGAATGTCACTGATAACATGCTACCGCAAAAAAAGTATGACTGTACGATAACACACTGTCGCAAAATCAACCTAAGTGGTCCCTTTGGGGATTTTCTGTTTTACGTCACCCTAACCACCTCGTACTTGTGGGCGTGAACAGGAGAAACGTTATCAATACCCAACAATTTTATGCAGCCCCTGATCAAGCAAATTGAGAGTTTTTCTGGCATACTGATTGTATGCTTCAACTGCAAGTACATACTTTTCTACAAAATACCCGTGAGCTACCAGGATGCCTCCTCGAGATTTCACCTTCTGGGCGAAAATCCCTGTGGGCTTGGCGCACGCTACTGGTGTACACGAGCGTAACACAGTGCCTTATGCACGATTCGCGCTCAAGAAAAGGCACGGTTTTTGTGCCAAAGCACGGGAAAAAAACATGCAAAGGCACAGATTAGGCACACTTAAGGCACGTTTTAAATATTGCTACGGCACATTTTAGGCACAGTTTGGGCACAGTTTTGGCACGGTTTAGGCACAAATATTCAACGCTGGGCACTTTTTTGAAAATCTTTGTAACCCGACTTGCAAAAAAGAACAAATTTGGTTCGAATTACAAAAATAATTCAGATCAAACACGATACAGTTAGAAGTATAGGAAGTGTAAGTTTAGAGCCGCGCCGAAAGTCTGGAAAATTAAAGTATTCTTCGACAGTCCGTGTTTACTCCGAGGATAAAGTGGAACTGAATTCACACGCGATATATGCGGTCTGAACCTTTTCGATTGCCATGCAATTTTATAGACTGGCTTTCTTTCGTTTCTAAAAGAAATCATGAAAGAAAGTCGAAGCCATAATAACAAAAACAAAGCTAAAGAAGTAAGGCACAAAAATAGCCAATAAAAGTCATAGAAACTACTTTTTGCGCCTGGCCTGAATTTGCATAACAACATGAAAAGTGGTAATTTGAAACCTTCATGCCGACGCGTGTTGTTTTTTGATACAAAATGCGGCTGCTTTTTAAAAATATTTCTCTAACTAAAAAAGTAGAATTTACACTTAGTAGTAAAATAATTCAAGCTGCTTGTTTGTTTTTTTGTTTTCTGGCTCTGTTAGCAAATTAAGCTTTGATCATATAATAATCGATCAGACGTGCCAATTTTGCTTCAGAACTCATCGGCGTGCAATCAAGTTTTTCGTTTTCATTTTATAAGTCATATCACAAGTAAATTCTTTTTTTAAATGCAAATCTGGCCTCCTGAAAAAAAATATTTCGTTCCAACTAAACGCTCCGTTAAGAAGGGGAGAAGAAACCCACTTGGAAATTTTTTAACGTCAGTGAAATTCTTGAATCGATGAAATTATATCAACATGTAATTGACTAGAGCTGAGCACTTATTTTAAATATGCTAACCTGTTTAAGATTCCGTTTTCCTGTTTGTCGGGGCTTTCCCTGCTGTCTCTAACCGTATTCTGAGTCATGTTATTTCTTATTAGGGGATAAAAAGGTCGTCAGCCCGTGTTTCTAGACTTCGTAAACCTTAAAACTGACATAATTGCCGTGCGCACTTTTCTTTTGCTGTGGAGGTCGATAGGCTGAACACGATTTTCCGAGTGACTCAATATATTTTGGCACAACTTGTGCACAGATTAGGCACAGTTTGAGCACAACTTTAATAGGCACGGCTTAGGCACGTTTTTCAAAACTGAAATGCACACTTTATGCACATCTTAGGCACAATTTAGGCACAAAATCTTTGTGCCAAAGCACACGCTAGAATCCGATTTTCGGTCCAACGCACGGTTTACGAATTTTCACGTTAAAAAATGCTGTCTAACCTTAGATATTTGATCTTAGCGTAAAAATGGGTTTTCCGAAGTCTTAACAGTTAGTCTATAAGGAAGGTTTAACTTATGAGCATTCCAAAAATTATTATTTCTTCTCTTAACAGCAAAAGAAAGTCAATCAAAAGCAATCTTTTAAATTGACGTTCGCGCTGCACAGAGATCGGACGTAGACAGAACATCTTCCTGAAAACGCCCTAAACTTTGTTGTTTTTCCATTATGTTCAGGAATTTTTAATACAGTTAGTACTCATAAGTCACTGACCTCTGTGGAGGAATTTTTCCAAAGTACAATTAACAGAAACAGAGAAATCCCGCAATATGCGTGGTTAGACTGTAAATGTTACGCGAGCTGTTAAGAAATGGTCCCATTTTGAGCCATATTTTTCATATTTTAATTTTATTTTGGTCTTACAGCCAGAAAAAAAATATTCAATGAAAAGCTGTATATAGACTTTAACTTCTTGCCAAATATCGATGCGATCTGAGTTTTAATAAGTTCATAAGAGCCAAACGATGTGAGATTCTTAGCCGTGTACACCAGTAGCGTGCGCCAGGCCTGTGGGGTGAAATTTTAATGTCGGAAAGTCGAGTCCGCTGAAGAAATGGCAAACTTCGGCAATTAAACGGGAGATTTCATATTTCCTCTTCTTCCTCGTATTTTGGGTGGCCGTTCACGGGAGGCTCAACAACATGATCATGCAGTACAAAAAGTCCTGTCCTCAGGAGATGTGCCCATGTGCCTCCCGAGAAACTCCTTGATCTTCCAGGTTTACCTCGGTGTAAGAACCTGTGAAGTTTTTTGACCTTTTGTTTTCCTAGGTTTTATTGTGTTGACTTCTTTGCGTCCTTTACTTTACGTCACTCGTGAGTTTCACAGGTTCTTTCACCGAGGATGAGCCGATCCGATCTTCCTAGACAAGTTGGAAAGGGAAGCCACAGGGTCAGGGAAGACTCTGTCTTTTGATGCGAGTACTTCTAGCTATATGGTAGTTGACGTTAACACCCTGATAGATTTAAAGGTAAGTGTAGACAGCTTCGAATTCTATCTGTAATTCTCACCTTCGAGAAAATTCTTGTTATCAATGACAGCTCGTATTGTGGCATTTTAGCGGGTCCTGTGTCCAACAGCTTCCAGGCGTACTCTACCAGGCGCGGATACCTAGCTACTACTTCATATAAGCAACCCTATGTGTCATCCACGTGCTTAAACAATCATCATGTCTGCCCAAGAGAGGTCGTTTTCTGGTAAAGTTGCCTTGATAACAGGTATTAGCTAATGTTTTTTGGTTGTGCGTGAATATTATGTGGCTCCTTTTTTCTTCCTCTTTTTTCTAAGAGGGATCGTTTGTTATCAGAAAGTAGAAATTTCATGGGATTGGGGGACTTGCCACCTTACCGCTATGTTTAAACATACGCGGTGTGGGGTGGGGGTTTATAGGCTATTATTATTGAATTATATTCCTTTATTCGAAAGATCAGTTTTCAATCGTATGTTTTAACCATAGAACTTACTAATAAATATGTTTTAGGAGGAAGTTCTGGTATTGGCCGAGGTGCTGTTCTTTTGTTGTCTATTAACTTGGTTGCAGTGTTGCTTTTGGAGGGAGAAACAAAACTGAACTTGATAATGTGGCAGCTAAGTGCAAAGAGACCAGAAGCGATGCTCAGGTAATTAACCTTTTCCCTCCCAAAAGGTGTCAAGTCATCAAATAAAAACACCTTAACCATTGAAAAGAGGCTCCCTTAGGGTAAAATTCCAACAAGCGACATGGCCTTGAAACAGAGGCATAAGGCAGACGAAATGTTGGCAAATAACATGAAGGTGGTTTGAAGCTGTGACACTCACAAATACAATGATAAAATACTGACAGTGACATGCCCTTTTTTCAGTGCAGAAAATTCCGACCCCCTTTGAAATTCAGACTAGGGATAATATATGTATATACCCCACCAAGAAGGCTTCTGTACAAGTTCTTCTTAATTAATGTAGTGAACTACACAGTCGACTCCCAATAATTATTCAAACCTTCTTAAATCTAGCAGGTGTTCTAGGGTAATCGACCCGCCACTTGTCTACACAAACTTACGTTATAGCCCTCTTTAAAATTCCCTTATCCTGCTATTTTATCCCTAGGATTCTGGCATCCCAACCCCATAAATATAGGAAATCCTGCTCCCACTTGTCATTGAATTCCCTCTTCCCGCTCCTGTTTTTAGCTTGCATCCCAAGTATCACCACAAAAAATAGCCAAACCCTGCATCCCGTCAAACCGACTGTGGACCCTCAGTTATTGGTAGTTCGAGTTATACATGTATAGACATGTACTCAAAAAAATTCATTTGATTTATTTTAATTGGATTGATTTATTTTTTAAGTACTTGGATAATTCATTTGAATCCCCAGCCATAATACCTGAAACAAGATTACATCTTCTAGGAGTCTTTTGTGGTTTGTAATGGAAAGAGTGCTATGTTTTGTCAGGTTTTACCAGTGCAAGGTGATTTAGAAAAAGATGAAGATATAAAAGCACTTCTTGAGGCCACAATAAAACACTTCGGAAAGCTGGATATTTTGGTAAGAACAATGTTGTTGCTGTTGATGGCACAAACCCAATCCTTTAAGTAACTTTCCTTTCAATGTTATAATTTTTGTATAAGCAACTATTACCCAAAATATTCAACTGAATTTGATATGATATATATTATTATAAACCATGTTATGTACATCCCGAACACCATATATTAAACAGCCAAGGGGCCGGGGTGGGGGGGAGTTAGAGATTGTTAAGTCCCTAGTGATTTACTTATAGTGTACTTTCCACAAGAATCAGATCAGTGAACCTGCTCTGATATGGGACCTGTGATTATTTTAAATTGTCCTTATTTAATCACCTAAACCTTATTTATTAAAATTTAGATTCTGACTCATTTGTTCCCATGATGCATTTCCTATAAAAGTATTGAGGACAAGTTAATTGTCTTGTGCAATCATGTCCTTAATTATCATCGCCAATCTGTTGTTGTTCGGAGGGCTGTGCTCTAAAAAAAATTGAAGGGAGCCCAGTGCTCTGAACTTGTGAAATACAGTGTGCCCAGCATATGATTAGTCGCCCGAGAACAAAAGTTAGGCACCATAGGCCACCGGGTTCTGCTAGAGCACAGCCTTGTCCTGAAAAGGTTTGTTGCTGATCTGATTCTTAACCCTTTAATTAGGGCTTAAATAGTGAGGAAGGCTAGAAGTTCTAGCAGTATGCAGATGTGAAACCAGGGGCGGATCCAGGATTTTTCTTGGGAGGTGGTGCACCAGTAAGGAATAAAGTAACTGACTGATGATGTAAACAAATTTTGATACAGAATACCACATCTCAGCGTATGCTATCTTCTGTTAATGTGTCGTGTGATCTTAATGTTTAAATGATTTATTTTTATATCTTTATTTACAAAATATCGAAGATACCATTCGTGCTCTGATTGGTCGAGAGGTGTGTTTGCATAAGAGTATGTAAACATGGTTGTCACAAAAGCACAAAATTAGAAACTTTTTTTAGTTGAAAACTTGACAAGTTTACTTTATTTACCCATTCCCTTGTTGGCTGAAACTAGAAAAATCTTTAGAAACACGCTGTGTCAATTTGTTCTCGCTTAAGCTGACATTTTAAGCAAGAAAAATCCGTATATTGGAAAGCTTCTTTTTTGCAAAACAAGAACTGGTTACTACGTGAGCAAGACTTCATGTACGAGACTGGTAAGAATTTCTCTTTTAATCATTTCCATAACAAAGAAAAAAGTAATAAAAGCAATAGAAAATTTTTTCCTGTATTTTGCATACTAACTCTCAAGGGGTTGGGAAAATTCTAGACAGTTATGCAAACCCTTGACCTCATCTTGGGTTTGCATAACTGTCTCGAATTCTCCCAACCCCTCTCGTGTTTATATCAGGCTATGCAAACAATGAAAACGTTTTCTATTGCTTAAATGTTTTCTCCTATACCACAGGTTAATAATGCGGGTATCGTTGCTAAGGGAACTATTGAAACTACATCCTTGGAATCATTTGACAAAGTAATGCGGATAAATACAAGGTGATATGTACATCAAGTTAAATTCCTAAAGTAAACTAGTCTAGTAAAGGGTGCATTGGAAAAAATGTGCTTGTGTCCTTGTTGAAACCTAATGACAAAATTGAAACGAGATAGAATGTTTTTTTTTTTTTCAGGGGGAAGGGGTTGGTTGTATTCTTCAGTGCACATGGTAATTTAGCTGTTTGATTAGCAATCGAACTGGAAAGAGTTTGTTAATGGTGATAATCAGGACCAAAAACTTTTAACCTCAGCTTGAAGATAATTTGCTAGTCCCTTAACCCTTTGTTTTATCAAGGTTACACTAGTGTAGCACTTGACCATTGCTGTAGCCTGCTGAGGTGATGTGGTTGTTGTAGAGAGGTTGAAAGAAGTATGAAGAGGTCAAATTGTGGAATGACTTTGAGTCAAAGAAAGTAGCCATTGAAATAGCCAGAAAAGAGAATAGTATTTCAAGTGTTTCTGAGTTCATTTTGGTCGCGAAATATGTTTGTGGGAACTGGAAAACCAGTTGCATGTACAGTTCGGCTTTTACATAAATTTTTGTACTCTAGTGTTTATTATGATATTATGATATTGTTTATGTTCCGATTCACAGGGCAGTTTTTTACCTGACATCCTTAGCTGTACCCTATCTGACGGAAACAAAAGGTAACACACTCTATGTCATCAGAGATACTTAGATACTGAGCTGCGTGAGAATATCTTACAAAACAAAACTTACACCATTTAGTAAAATCCTACTAGTGGTCTATTATCAACGCTGCATTAATTCTGATTGGTTGAGCTACTACTAGGCTATATGTTATAGCCCACTAGTAGTGGCGCAGGCTTTGAATACCAAAAAAATTATGGCTGAACTGCGCTTTGCTAGCCAAAGTTGTTTTGTCTTGATATTTTTGACAAACTAGATGGATTTTACTAAAACAATTATTCCTCTCACCCTCATGGCCTCTGAGTCAATAGCCCATTTGGGCTATGGCCTCATGGGCTATTGATTCAGAGCCCATTCGCGCTCAAGGAATAATTGTGAAATACCTTATTGGTACTAATTTTTGGGATTTTGACGATACAGTATTTCACGTTGATTTATTTTGATGATTTCAATAGGCAAATCTGAAAAAAGGGCATTAATCTTCACGATTCAAGCATTCTCACTTTCATTTTATCTTTCAAAAAGTCAGAACTTATTATTACCGGGGCCCAGCCGAAGGCTGGCACCGGTCTTAAAATGCAGACCGTCCGTTTTTTCAACGTTACATTGTTAGGGATATATCGCTGACTGAGATATATCGCTGGCTCATTGAAATCTTATCCGCCATTTTGAAAAGAAGAGGCATGGAGGACAGTCAAGAGAAAGATTATAGCTTTTTTGGGGAACGACACGTTCCCCCAACCCAACTAGTTTATGAGCGAAAATTTAAGAGTGAATATTTGGAGAGACAAATTTACGAGCGATCACTTCTGAGACTGAACCTTCCATCGTGAAACTTATCGAGAAATTGAGTGAACCTTCCATCGTGAAATTTATCGAGAATCAAAGCGAACACTTATCAAAATTTGTCTTCAAAAAGATTTCAATGATTGACATACCGAAGACTTCAAAGCTCCATCGCTATGTTAATAAGGTGAGAAAACTTTATCATGCACGATATAAATGTAATAACAAACGCGATCCAAAGATAATTAACTTAAATAAAATGGCTATACGCAAGAAAGCTTATTTGTTGTCTTTCTTTAGCAGGCATTATCACAGGATAATGAAACTAAAAATAATGTAAAGCACGTCGATCTTTATCATTGTTTTCTTGCAATTGTGTGAGTCATATGACCAATTATGTGAATTTCAAACTAAGTAAAGATGTTGAGAAGAATCCAGGACCTACTCAATACAACACTGATCATCATGAAGTAATAATTAGACCTTCTATGCAAAATCACAGCTCAACATTGGTTGAGGTCACACTAGAGACTTTACTATGGTAAAAAGGGCTTTACTATGGTAAATCTCGCAACGTCTTCTTTACCGTAGTAAACCTGACAGGTCCACTTAAAAAGGCATTTGAAACTTTCCAGGCGTTTTTTCTCGCGTGATCGGTAACGTGAGAGTGAAAAGTAAAACAAATGATGACCTGCTATGAGAGCTGACTAAATTGAAATTACTGAACTGTAACTTCCTGAGCGTGACCCTCACAAGTGTACAAAGATGCTTCAATGTGAGAGAGTATTGTTTTCTGTTGTGAGCATTTTGCTTTTAATTCTGCTGCTCAGACGAGCAAGAAGAATGCGCTCCCTTATTACCTACCTTGGTTTCGAATACGAAGTTAGTGAAGATGTTTTAGTGACAGGTTTATTGATTACTCATCGAAGACGTATTCTTAGAGAAAGAGTGGCATTGCGAAGGCAAGCGTGGGTTTAACCTCGACCCCAGGAATGGTTTGAAGAAATGTACAGAAACAGAAACCTTCAAGCACTGTGGAAAAAGCAATCACCGATGTTCTAGAGCTATTCTGTTATGTGACCCTTTTTGAAACTACTTTCCTCAAAAATCATGACAAACTGTCAACAAAACAAACAAAGTTTAGATAGACTAGAGATATACCCACCTATTTTTTTTGGTAACCAGATGGTTATCGGTGATGGGTCATCTTTGTTCTTTCCGCGGTAGTCATGGAAATTAACCAGGGTAGAGTTTACCATTGTAAACTGAAAAATGCCGGTCACACTTACGGCGCCGTTTACTATGGTAAACTTGAGTTTACTATAGTAAACTTTCTCTAGTGTGACCTCAACCAATGCAGTTGAACTCTCCTATTTCCTCTGAGAATTTGATGCAGTCAAGATTAGGTGCACTTTGTTTACAATCAATAGATGTTGGCGGTGCAGGTGATTGTTTCTTTAGATCTGTATCACATCAATTATATGGCAAAAGCAACCATCACATGCATATACGTACTGCTGGGGTTCAATTTATGAGAGACAATCCTGAGAGATTTATTGAGAGCAATACCGAAAATTCATGGATAAGATATCTGAATAATATGTGTATTCAAGGTACATGGGCTGATGCACTTATCATTCAAGCAGTTGCAGATATACTACTGTTTACCCAGTTCAGGAAAGAAATACTTCCTCTACAATAATTACTATAGGCCATATTGATGAATGCCACTATGTATCAACCACTGCCTTACAATCAAGTGCCTCCATTTCAATGTGCAATGAATTAACAAATGATACTCAGTCATCAATAAATAAGCATTTTATTATGTCTGTATATAACACTGGATGACATTTTTTACAGTGCAAGACAACAATCCATGACCACAAAGATCTATTTCAAAAATGTCTTATGTCTGTTATCATTTCAAATTCACAGTGTTTTCGCAAAAAATAGATAAATGTGATTAATAAATCTCAATGATAAACCTGATGATAACGTACTTGAGAAAATGTGAAATTGTGATAATTCTGTAACAAACTTCTTTGCAAACTTTGTCATTACCATTCAACCCAAAACTGTCAGTGATTTTTGCTTTTTCACTCAAACTTAAAAACAAATGAAAACCTTATACAGATCACACTTATTGACATCACAGTGTTACTAAAAACACTACTATAACACAGACCGTTAGCTGTAATAACACTGAACAAACTTACAACAACATCCTCCTTTCTCATGCATTTTGTTGCTTTTCTTCTGCATGAGTTAATTCAGACTAAGTATTAGCCTCCACAGAGGAGGGGGGAGGGGTGCGAGAGGTAAACTATATCTATGCAATCCCGTATCCCACTGGGCCCCGGTAAGTTCCACGTAGTGGTTCTAGTTCAAATTTAGGATAAAATGGAACAAGCTATTTTTAACACACAGATTCTCTACCTATTCCCTTTGCACTTACATATAATGTTCACGTATATTACATGTCGCGTGTTTAAATTTCTTGAGGATTTTTATTCGCACATCATTAATTTTTTATTTTTTTACAGTCGCGAAAAACGCAAAATTAATGGCCTGCGAATGTACTTATTAATAAGATACTATACATACTGTAGTACTATACCGTATTTATTCGAATAAGCGCCCAACCTCGAATTAGCGCCCACCTCAAATAAGTGCCCATCCCAGAGGCAGAAAAAGTTAATAAGCACCCAGCCTCGAATAAGCGCTCACCCCACCCCCTCCCCTCCTTACTAAACTCAAATAAGCGCCCACCCTCACCCCACCCACTTGAGTGACTATGAGATTGAAATTGAAATTGAATAAGTACTTATAAGAGACTTCCCCGAAGACGGCGTTTTCTTCAGAGTATTTTACAGAAATCTTGCTTTGTTACTTCTTCGCGTTTTGTTATTACCTTTTACTGTTTTGTTGCAAAATAAACATACTACACTTGCTGAAAGTGGTGAAAATTTAATAATCGCCCAACCTCGAATACCCGCCCACCTCAAATAAGCGCCCGCTCTCAAGGTCCAAAAATTTAATAAGCGCCCAGGGCGGTTAATCGAATAAATACGGTACATGAACAGTCAGGGCATCTTTTGAATACCTGCGCGTTGGTAGTTTTTTTGGCTCAGCAATGATTGTAAGGAAAACAATAAAGATGCTTTTAAATGCCCATGAAGTGCGAGGTCTTTGTTTGGTGACTTTTTTGGCTTTAGAATGGATAGTTAAGGGTGCAATTTACGCTTTTCCCAGCTCCACATCCAAATGTGCAATCGTCATGTTAATTAAACAGTTAGTTGCTGTTAGGCAGATAGATTAAACTTTAGAAGACTTTCGAGTCAAACCTCATACAGTGGTTTGTTATGTCAACCATACAAGTTGCACAACATCCAAAATGTTGAAGCATACTGTACACTATATCTGCCAAAATAACACGCAGGCCTCAGTGTTAAAACATTGGGCGCGTAAATGAGAAAACTTTTTTACTACTTCGTCAAGCAAAAATCTCCCAATTTTTCTAATTTACAAGAGCAAGTTCTCCTTTACTTGTTGGAACGTCCTGGATTGAACTTGCCTTGCAACGTTTTCGTTGCAGTAGTGATTGCAAAAATGGAACTTGCTTCTCATGTTTTCAGATCGTTAGTCAATTAATCACGACAGAGTTAAATGAAACATTACTTAGTGTGATGCTGTTCTCCAGTATCTAAAATCAGTTGTAAAATCTTAATGTATTTTACATATGCCAATAACCAAGAAGGTAAATTCCCTCTCGCATTAAATTTCATTTCTCTAATTTTTAAAACCAATGCAATATTATTAATATGTAATATATATATTTTTGCTTTAGGGTGCGTTGTGAATGTTTCTAGTGTTAATGGCATGAGATCGGTAAGTTTACCATCATAAATCAATAAAATACACGAGGAATTTTTGATGTATACAGTGTTTATTAACATAAACTTTCCGTAGGCTGGTTGTTTCTCTGTTATTTTAAACACAATGCTTAGGCTCGTCAATGAGATAAATTCAGTCTTGCTTCTCTTCTCGAGTATTAATCCTTAACCCCCTAGGCTGTCTAACTATAGCCTGAGAAGACAGCGGAACTGATTACTGGTTTCTCCTGTGTCACTCTAAAGATCTGGGTAATGCTTCTGGTTGGTCGTACCCCACGGGAAATTTGCCTTAACCAATCAGAAGCACTGCCCAGATCTGGGTAGTGACGTGTCATCAGTATGAAATTTCTGCAGTCGTTCCTCACACGTCATTTCGCGGGGAAACCAGAGGTGACACCGCGAATGTTGGCTGTTGTTGTTTATCGCTGATGGTCCTCCGTATTGTTTTGACAGTTTCCTGGCGTGCTTGCCTACTGTATGTCGAAAAGTGCAGTTGATCAGCTCACGAGATGTGCTGCTCTCGGTACGTAGGCCACTTTAGTGGAGTAACCAAAGCAAACTTTATGTATCAGCATTGAAATGCTCTTAAGCTCTAACAAGGACAAAAGAACTGTCTCTACTTGCCGGAACTGTATCGGATCGTTCTGCCCAAGGTCAGTTCGCACGTTCTTACGTCGATTCGCCCGATGGGTATTTTCGTTCTTTAAACCTGAAAAAAGGATCAAGCGTAAACACAGGGACTGTACATGTGAAATCCTACTCGTTTTGTAGAGCATCCTATTTCATCGGGCGAGTCGACTTGAGTTCGGGCGAAACGTCGTCGGGCGATTCGACTTTCGGACGAAACCACCCTAATTCGCGGGCGATGCGTGGTTGATGTGGCTGTCTGAGTTTCATGTGCAAGGTACCTCTTAAACAAGAGAGATGATGTATAGTTTGTCTCTTGCTGTCTTTTTATGCTAACCTATGGGTACCCTGTGTGAATTACTGTTTAACCCCGAAAAACGATCATGAAAGTCAGGGTTCCATGGTGAAGGTTGATTTTGGCAGCCAGTTAATGTGCATTTATCACGTTGCAGAACTTGCGTCGAAACAAATCCGTGTTAACTCAGTCAAGTAAGTAAATATTAAATAGTGCGCTAATTCATGTATAAATAGGGTCAAATGCTCATCACGGGATCTAGCCTGCGACGCCTGATCACAGGTTGCTACTTACAGGTGATCAAGTGTGCATATCATTGAACGTCCTCTTCTCTTTAGCATTTTATCATCACCCTTCTTTAATCATCATCGTCATCGTCAGCATTGTCTTCATCGTCATCATCGTCACCATTGTCATCGTTGTCGTCTTGCTTAGTCCCTGTTCAGCGTTTTCCCAGTCCTTCTCGGTCAATTCACTTGGGTGACGTACCCGAGGCGAACGATCGGGAAACGCCTGGACAAAAACAGAATGCGCATGTGTGTGTTGCTTTTTGAAATTCAAGAGACTTCAAAATGTTGTCGATAATGGTTTTTTCAAACCCTTGTGGATATTTGCGGGATCGACTTTTGCCGACCGGCTTTGAAAGTCATCAGAATGTTATTCATAGTCCTATGAAGATTGATTTCTGCTCCTTCAATCTCATCATTCCAGCTGAATTATCGGAGTTTGTTGCTCCTGCCTGACTTATAACCCATAGTTTTAACCGATCGTGCGAATTTTCAAAGTAAAAACGATACTTAGTGACCCTCTGTGTAGTAAACGTAGAGCGCACATTTTAAATAATCAGAAAAACCGAACATGCTTTCAAATAAAATTCATTGCATTAGCTGCGTATTGAAAAGTGCCAAAAAGCTGAACCTAAAAGTAAAAATCCTATAAAATTCACCGACATTCGCAAAAGTGATGCGTGTACTGTGAGAAGCTAAGAATTCAACTTGGATATTGTAGTCTCAGGATCGTGTTTTGAGCTAAGGGAGAAATTATTTCTCGAAAAACTTTATTTAAAAACTCATAAATTAATCCTTGAAAGCAATTCGCGTAACACAAATTGGGCTCGTGAATCCGTTCACGCAAGTAAAATCGGTTGAGCACATGGCAAAAGTTATTCAACACAAATCTCAAATCAGGGCGTTCAAGCCGATCTCTAAATGTACAAAACGTAAAAATTAATGTTTACTAATACATAATTCTCTTTTTAAAACGTCATTTTCTTGACTAAAGAGTACAAAATGTACCTGAAAATTCTTCAAAAACTTCGCTGCTTGGTGGCGTTTCAAAACAGGCCAAGCGCTCCGATGACGGAAATTTTCTGAATTTCGAATTCCTCGAAGGACAATTTTGTAAAAAAAGCCTTCCTTTGTCCACTAGAAGAAAACTAAGCATTCTTTGAACTTTCCCTTTCCATCTGTTTCTTTTAGCGGCGTATTTTTAACCTGGAAATCCAAATATCGTCTTGTAAACCAATGCTTTGAGCTGTCTCGCTTTTGTCTCACTTTTAAAGATTTTTTGTTTCCCTTGGACCACGTGACCCGAAACGCTTTGGTCGCGCGGAATAATGAGGCCTAGGAACTAGGCAAGTTGTCGTCGTCGTCGTCATCATCATCATCATCATTGTGATTGTCATCGTCGTCATCACATTATCTTCCGCGTCGTGATGACCGTCGTTATCATCACTTTCACAATTATTCTCTTTTTCGTTACTTAATTGAAGTTAGCGGATATGTTTAGGGGAGTTTGACGTCCAAATGATGAAACGCGTTCCGATGAAACTGCAGATATCCAAAACCTCATGTCAAAGTAGGCTTTTCTTTTTCTTTTTAGGAAAAATAGTGATGTAAGACCACGATTTTTTTTTCTTAAGGTTCTCTCTCGGAGATATCTCAAAACAAACATAAATAGATGATGTTTTTATGGCGGCAATATATTTGTTGTTCTCAGTTCCGTCTTTTTCGTTTAGCCCTGGAGTGATCACTACTGAAATACACAAACGTGGAGGCATGAACGAGGAAGAATATCAAAAGGTGTGTTGACCTCTCTTGAAAGCCTCATTAAACGAGGAAATGCGAGAGCTAAAACATCAACTTAAGCGTTACCAAAGGGAAGTCTGTTTAAAGCCGTTTTCAATTTTGCCTGCCCTGACAACTAAACTTTGTCTGCTGTTAAACTTATAGTTTACTGCCCAGACTAGCTAGGAAAGCAATTTCTAGGACCACTGATTTTCTTAAAGTGCGCTCCATGATCTTTATAATACAGTCAAACCTCCATGATACGGATGCATCTATTTAACAAATAGATTCCATGTTGCCGTGCGTCTGTTCAGTAATAGATCACAGATGACGTCAAAATGTCGTAAAAACAAAGAAGTGGCACACGATCCGCAGGCGAGTGTGTCACTGTTGTTTTTACCACATTTTGACGTCCTCTGTGATCTATTACTGAACAGACCTACGGCAACATGGAATCTATTTGTTTTATACAATGATCAGAAAAGAAACAGACCGATACACATACCTGGTGGAATACATCTTCTGTTTTTATGATAGAGCGATTTTCCTATGACCTTGAAAAATGGTCTCGGTAAGTGTTATTTGTTTTATCAGCCAATGGTTGAAAAGATCAAAACATGGACTCTTATTTTCCCGCAAAGAAAACCCTAATATGGCCAATCGTGTTGCAGTATGACGTCAAAGCGAAGTACCGATTGATTTCTAGAAAGTTCTCGGGCATGAAGTTTTTTCACCCGAGCGTTCGCTTAACCAAGCAAAAGCCACGTGCGTTTGAATCCGTTCGATAAACCAATCAAATCGCTCTATTTCCGTTCGTTTGTTGTTTCTGTTTTGTTCGCGCGTTTTCATTTCAAGGTCATATGAAAATCGCTCTATGGATGTCTCTGTACCTTGTGTGTCCGTACTAGGACGATGTGACTGTATTGTAAAATCTTTCAAATCCAATTTCTCTTTTTTTTGGCCAAACCTAGAATTCAACTGAAATGTATGCAATCGTATCGAGTATTTGGGATCTCTTTTAACCCTGTTCCTTTTTTTTTTCTTTACTTTCCTGGGTTAGCAGGGGAGGGTCGGGGACTTGGGAGACTTTTATACTCGCGTCGTTATATTGTTTTGTGTTTCGTTCCATTTAATAAATTTTAAAAGTATGAGGAGCAAATTTTGCAGTGGCAATTTATGAATTTATAGCAAGACGCACTGTAACGCTCTTTTCTTTAAGAATTTGTAGAAGCGTTTTTAAGGTCCTGAAGGCCGTTTTTTTAGGCCCTCTTGAGTTGCTCTTATAAACATAGAAGCATACTTGAAATAAACCAGGCGGAATGTGATAACACCTTTGAGTCTTCCACGAATAATTTCCAATTAATATCTAGGATTTCGCTAAGAGTTACCACTTTTGCTTTAGTTTCTAGAACGATGTAAAGAAACTCACGCCTTGGGCCGGCCGGGAAATGTGGAGGAAGTTGCAAGCGTGATCGCTTTTCTGGCGTCAAGTGATGCGTCATACATGACGGGTGCCTCGTTGCCTGTAGACGGGGGAAGACACGCTATGTGCCCAAGATAACCACATTGTTAATCATATCCAGTAGTAACCAGCAAGAATTACAAGCATAGAATTACCGATCATTTTATTGAGTATCCTAGATAAATGTGAATTCCTTCACTAAACTCATTTTACTCTTTGCTTAAGTTGTGTATGTGATGATAAACGGAATACATCAGACGTGCAGAAATTACAATTAACGGGCATGAATGAAGCGAAGCACTTTTGTGAAGGAACATTTTTGTGGCCGGCTAGCAGGTTCTTCGATAAAATGATGAGGTTTCTTTGTTCTATAACTGCTTTTATTCGTTACGAACTTCACTACATGCTAGCTTACAACCCTCTCTCTTAATCTCTTTATGGCACCTTCTTTTTATAGTGACCAGAAAATCCGGCTGCTTGGAGCAAAATAACGCTTGGCATTGGACCTTCCGCGGTGTTTACTGTCGCGAAATTATTTTCTTTCTACAATTTCGCCTTAAAGCTTAATTGGGCTCTCAATTCATTAATTTAACACGAAGAGAGCAATTAAGAGCAATTTCAAAGTATTCGCCTGCATATAAAATTTTTACATTATCAACGGCCAGGTTACAATAAGAAAATCATGAAAAGTTGTCGATCCACAGAATGCAAGTGCAAGTGTCGAATTCCTGATCGACGGTCACTGACTTAACTTTTCCATCGATTTAATATATGTAGTTAAAACTACTTATATGATGAGCAAATTCTGGACTAAATTTTAAATACATTATGTTGAAAAGACGCATGAGAATTATCAGATTTCAAGGTCAGCTTACGTTGAAGTCAAAAATATCAAACTGTGCAATATTCTTATTGGGGTAGGGTTGCCACGGAAACATTAAATCAGTTTCACACCGATTTCAAGAGAATGTTGTCGTTTATTTGAAAACGTTCAAGTTGCTGTAAAACTAAACAAAGTAGTACAACTTTAAAGAGATCTTTGAGTTACGCAACCTTTACATCCTGATGAAATATTCGTTTGACCTTAACTAATGCAGTAAACACGAAAAAGTTGAAGTTTCCGTTGCTTGGATTTTAATATTTTAACAATACCTTTTTTGTAACACTCAATAAACATCGATAGTGAAAACTCGTTTCAAAAAATAAACAATAACCAATTCATAATTCATGTTAATAAGGATAATTGAAGTGAGTGGAGTGCAATTTGGTCTGAGTAATCACACTTCTGAAAGCTAATTGGATTGTAAGGTTGACCAGTGATTTCAAATACTTCATTGAACTCATGTAACATCTCCATGACACTTTTGAGATTGACTACAGAATCGTTGAGATCCATTGTTATTATTCCATTTGCTCCAAAGTGTTCTTTCTAATTCTGATTTGCCATTTCGCCAAAAGTTTATGCGATATATATTTTTTTGGATATTAAATTGTGCTTTTGTTCACTCGTTAGTAACGATTGTTGTTCGCTAAAAGTAATTCCAAAGCTTCGTCATCATTTTTATCTTGGTCTAAGTGGATCTTATTTATCGGCACCTGTTAGCTTCATCAATGATATCCCTCTGAAGGGTCTCCATTTCTTCCTTCCAGACTTCATAAAGATCAAACTCTCTCTTTTCTCCATTCACAAGGTCATAAAGGTTGCTTCTCACCAATCCCTCATGGTAAGCAAGGGTATTTGCCCCATCAACTCGAGCTTGGTGGATTCGTTGCGACCCTTTCTTGACCGTAATCTTCCAGCTGTTTTCCCTTCTTTTAGACGGTCTAAAGATTATACGCACCTCATTTCCATCTCTTGAAAGGTACGCCCAAAGAGTATCACTCACAATCAATGCATTTTCTGAGTAATCGCCTGTTGCTTCTCGGTTTCCTGTTTCTAGTTTTTCTCCAGCGTACGTTTTGGCTTTCCCAAACACTATTTTCCATCTTTTCTGTGTAGCCTTTTTCGCAGGGACTCCAATAACAAGTTGTTTGGGCTGCGGGCTTGCATCAGCGAAATTCTCTGTAAATGTGTAATCATCAAGTGGTCTTGAAGTGAAACCCAGATATTCACTGCCCAAATTTACTGCTGGCCTGTCATCGTGCTTCAGATCTAAAAGAAGTTGATGATTTCCAGTTGTCCCGAATACAATGCGTTTTGCTTCTGGGACATGAATTTTGACTGTATACGATGCATCTGTTAAATCACCCACACGATGTTCGTATACCAGCTTCTTTTCTGACTTCAGATAGTAGACAAGATATTGTGCACGCCAGTCTTTAACCCAGTCCATCAATTCATCATCAATGGCAATAAAGGAATTTTTTGGTAGTTGCAGAGAGAATTCCTTACTTCCACCAGAAGGACGATCCCCTCTAAAAGAACCAAACGAGATAACGAAGTCTCCACAAAGCCCAGGAATTGGATCAGCTTTTAAATCGGTATCCAGATAATAATGAAACGGGACGCTTGGCACAGGTCGATCATCAATATACCATTCATGATTTCGACTTCCAATTCCTCTGTTAATCGAGGTATGCCCCAGTGTATAACTCAACGCACAGTCAAGGTTTTCATCATCTAAGCTTTTAATGTTGCATTTAACTTGTGGTTGGCCTTCGGGGTCAGCCAGATAAAGCCTCATCTCTTTAACATCGCCTGGTTTTGTTCGTTTGATAATAATCCTCCCAGTGAACGTATGCCTCAGACCATTATTGTCTTTCATGAAGATCACTATGGTTTGCGTTTCCTCATCGTAACCAATATCGTCAGGGGAAATCTTATAATATCCGTTACCATATTTTGTCTTCTTAACGAGGTAAATTTGCCCGAGTATTTCTGATTCATCAATTATCGTATGAGTAAAGTCGTGCTCATTGGTCAGATAGATGACATAATTGTTTCTTCCGCCATCGTTTTTCACTACACAACTCTTGTCCTCTCCCATCGCAATTTCGTCATCCATTGGAGACCCTGTAAAATAAAAAATAAATCAGCATTTACGTGATGAGATCAGTCGATTTTCTGCTCACTGTGAAGTTATCGTAAAAAGAAAAGTTGAATTAGAGCAAACTGAACTTTTCATTTCAAGAGATTTGCTTATTGGTATATAGAGTATCAAGTAGTTTTGGTCTTTGCATTAAAATGTGATGGATGATACATGTTTTCCGTCACAAGTATGTTATTTGATATTAAAATTTTACTTAAGCCCATGGGCCAAGAAAAAGCCGTTTTCGTACTGACAAGTTAATAAAAACCACTTAAAGACATCCTCCCTAGTAGTATCGTAAGCGAAACGAAGAGAGGAGGCCAGGAGAAGTATTCAATGGTTATTAATTGTGAAAGATAATTTCGCTCCATCTAAGGGAATCCAAGACTGGATTCTAGATTCCAACCGTTAGTGGGAGTTTGGATTCCTTGAGCTGTATTCCAGATTCCAGAAGGAAAATTTTACTTGATTCCGGATTCCACAGGCATTAATTTCCCGGATTCCGGAATCCGAATTCCCTTACATGCGACGAATGATTACAGAAATTTCATATGGTGCGCGATAATGGCTTTTATCTGGCTGATCATTCCTTACCAGGTAGATGACAGAAGTACTCCGATTTCACAATCTTGCGAGAAGTTGTCAACGACGACGACGAATTCCTGTCTTTTCCTTTCGAATACATTACAACATGGATGTTAAAAACCTCCATATATTAGTCCTATCACTAAGGCCTGGTTGCAGACGCCGTACTTTTCATGTGCCGAACCTAACTGAATAAGTTCGACTTCGGAGTGACACTGGCGCGACATCTGATTCAGACGGTGCACCATGTTTTGCGCCCAAGCTAAGTTCGACAAAAGTTCTACTTAACGCTTTTGCCGCACCAAACTAAGGGTGCGTTCTTTTGGGACGATCCAGATTAGGATCAGTGATCCGAAAACACTCGAAGCATGGTAGATCAAACGAACCGATGAATCCACTCAGCGCAAGGTGGCGTTAGAGAGTTTAAGCAGCGACGTTTTTGAGCGACGCACGTCGACCGAAAGTGGACTTTTTGCACTCTTGAGCGGCGACTTTGAACACATTTTTTGGGCTAATCGTCTCCATAAGATTAAGGTCACTAAGTACTACAGATTTGGTAGCGTCAAGGCATTTACAAATTTAAAAATGGCGAACTTCTAGTTGAAGTGGGTCGCTGCTTAAACTCTCTATTGTCTTTGACCGCTCCGGGTCCCAATCCATACGATAGCCGTCTGCAGATGGAATGGTTTGCTTTTTGGAGCAGTAATGAGCGAGAACTGGCGCATGTGTCATTTTTTCTTCAAGCGACAGAGAGACTCTTTTTCAACTTGGCCCCAATCGTTTCCTTCTTGCCTGATAGAAGATCCCGAAGGGAAGAAGTACAGTCTTTTTAGACAGGTTTGAGATAACCTGTTGATGATTGATCACTTACCAAAATGTTCTAGTCTGAGGAGGGGCCCATTGCTTTTTGTCGGTTCTTTCTTCCTTTTGTGAACCTCGATATCACAAACGTCTCTCTATATAACGAAGTTCTTAAGTATAACGAACGATTTTCTTCGCCCCAGTAATAGTAAAAAATATGGAAAAGAACCTCGATATAAGGGAACCTCGTTATATCTAACAATTTTTGACAGTGACTTGAAGTTGGCCCTACTATCGAGGTTCCACTCTTGCTCATTTACATTCTCTTTTTAAAAACTTTCTGGTGCTGATTTTTAGCCAAACGGAAGTTGCTGAAAACAATTTCTGCCGAAGAAAACTAAGAAAAGTAAGAGTGGTCCGAAATAATAAAAACTAATTAAAAATTTGATCGTACCAACTGAGTTTTTAAGGTAGATCTGTCTCCCTTGGGAGATTCAGAAGCTGTCCTTTCGAGCGCTAGCATCTTGTCGGAGCGAACATTATTAATAATGGAATAGAGAATTAGCTGTGAAGTACAAAATCAGGTGCTAGAAATAACCATTAAAAGCCCAATGACCGCAACAACACTAATAAAGGAATTAGGGGAACCACGAGGCAAAGAGAGAAATCTGTTTACCCCTATGGGATGAGATCTACCATTGCTTTACCTACTAAGCTGCGAGGTTTGGACTTATGAAATCGTAGGTAATTATGATGGTGCATTGCGGCGAAGATTGGGTTCTGATGGGTTATTTCTTGCTCTTGAATTTTCACTCGAGTTATCTCTCTCTTCAGTCATTTGTTTCACAGTGCCAAAAATTGATTAAGTTTATTACATACCGTGAAATACATTAACACCGGTTACGTAGCCGATTCTGTATTCGTGTAGTTGTGACCTTTCTGTTACTGGTGAGTCCTTCAATCTCAAGTAAATTTCGGAGCTTGGTACCATCCCCTTGGATCTCATATCGTACTTAATACCAACGAGAATTTTGGGCGCCCTACCAGTTCGGCCTGTTGGAAACTCAAGTCTCTTTGTGTTCATCCCTTGAAATGATAATGTATTGATTCCTGTACCAAGTGTACCCCAAAAACAGTTCTGGTGATAAGTATAGTAATTGCAAGGTACTCCTGTAACCTGGAGTAAGTCGTCCCCTGCACCTGTATCAACTCTGATTGAATGATCTGAGTACGCAAGGCCTGTCATTTCTCCAATCACAACATTATCAGGGTTTCTCTCTTCTTCATCGTTTGCTACTCGAGTGTCAATATTAACTCCCCTTATCCAAAAGAGCTCGGCGACCATAGCCGTGTTAGCAACGACCGTCATTCCCTTTCCGTTGGGTTTTGTTATGTTCCCATAGAAGTCATATCCAATAGGAACTATACCTTTTGGCCTGAAAATGATATTGCCATATTCTGACTTGTCAAACATTCGGTTCTTTCCCATTGTAAGGTAGCCGTTCTCTTGACCTGGACTGATTGTAGCCTTAAACATGATATTTGGATCATCATCAACGCCCGAAATATGTTGAACTGACTCGGTACGCATCCCTTGTATCAAATTTCCCTGATTAATTTCGTAAATGGTGTCAAAGCCAGTATTTTGCTTGAATGCGGGAGTGACTTGATGGGTGATGTTTACTTGGTTTTGAAGATACAACAGCGAACCTTCTTTGAGTTTCTGTATTGTTTCAAGATGATCTTTTATTGTGCCGTAAGGATTCACAGAATTAATCAAGTCGACGATGATTGCTGCAAGCGAAAGCAAGCATCCTATAATAGCGCCGACAGGACCTGCCACAGCAGCCAGTGTGCTTCCAGCCGTTGCCAATGCCCCCACAACGAATGCTGTCACTCCAACTGCTCCGCTGGCCACCCCCAGTGATGCACTTGCAATATTCAAAGACTTCACTTCGGGTGGAGAGTCTTCATCATTGATTGCGTTATGCAGTTGCCAGCCACAAAATGCAACATTAGCGGCATCAAAGAGAGGCCCACTTATCGTGTCGGCCCATTTTAACGCCTTTGCCCACCGTTTTGCATTTTTTAGACTTGTCACGAGATCGTCGTATCCCTGGGTATTTTTCATAAATGTAGTAACTTCGTTGTCAAAAAACTCTCCTATTTTTCTCTTTAATACTTTTGCACTATCAATGATATCATCAATATCATCTGCATTGCCGCTGACCACTCGTTCCGCCACTACTTTGTTATACTCTTTAAATCCACTGATTGTTTGAGGGAATTTTCCCTTGTGTTTTACTAACTGATCAATCAGTCCAGACGCGATAGGGGACACTGTTGCTTGGGTTGTGTCGAACACGGCTAGCGTTGCGATAGCGATGTTGAGTGTTTCCATTGCTTTTTCTTTCTCTCCTTGTTCCATTTGGGAAATCGAGCCAATTACACCAGATCTCCACCAGATACCAGTACCACCTACATACACTGATGTCAGTGATGAACCTGTACTTAACATTCGAATCGGGTCAGCTAGATTTAGAATGTTATCCTGAATCTTTTTTAAACCACGTGCCCAACTTGCTCCTGCTCTAAGGCTGTCTATTTCTGGCAAGTAGAAGAGCGAAAGCACTGTGCACAGAACCAAGATGTGCGGCATTGCTAGATGTCTGCAAATTGATTGAAAATTCATAATGTCACATCGTACTAGTACCAGTACTTCGCTATTGTTAAATAATGATAATTATGATGATGATGATAATGATTTATCCATGATGACCCTTCGGTACAAAGTACTGTTATCAACGGGGTCCTGCTGACTAAGAATTAAAAAACTAATAATTAGAATAAGAATTACAAAAATATGTAAATAAAATACATATTTTAAAAAGCAAAAATGCACAAAGAAATTACAAGTAATAATAGTAAACGGCTTCCCTAAACTTCAAGGTAATGAACAAAAAAAATCGAGGCATGCACCTAAAAACTAAAATCTACGTTGCGCAAAATCCAGTTTGGCCTTTAGCAGTGTTGCTGTTTTTCCATAGTTTCTAGTGTTTAAAGCGTTATGATTAAATTCTTAAAATTAATTTTAAATGGAAAACATGCAGGAGTTCCATTAAGGCATTCAAATGCAAAGCAGTACGCTCTCTTTTGTAAAAAGTTGTCAGTTGTTAAAAGTCGAATATCAAAGTTGCGCCTCTTTTTTGAGATCCATTTGTCTTTGAAATGGAATAGACGAAGAAATATAAGCACCAACAACTCAACCATGAGGAGAAGCCCGTGGCTTTGCAATAAACGTGTATTCCTTCTACTTGACCTCGTCTTCGCTTTCGAGGCTTTCGAGGGATAGATGAGTTTCCCTGACCGAACAAATGTGTTCGTGCCCCCACCATACTCAAACGTCTGGAATATTCTGCGACTTTGCAGAGCTATGTCTTCGGTCTGTTTTGACGTATCATGTTTAAACTGGTAGATGACCTCATTTCAATGCCTTCCCTCAAGTGTCGATGGATATTCGCTTAATGCTCTCTATATGTAAAGTTGAAAAAAACCGTGGAAGGATCTACTGTGCCAGGGTGTTAGAAATGTTATTTATAAGCAACTGGTTTAATTTTAATCAGCCAAACCAGGAGTAGACAAAAGGAAGGTGAGGTAAGAAGATTGACAATTTTGCCGTGAACAGATTCGACTTTCGTTAACTTGCGAATTTAGCGACTTTCGAGATTCTCTCATTAGTTTCATCAGTAGGTACCGTGGGAGGAGTTTTGTCAAACGAATTGCGAAGCGAACTTCTACAGACGCCAGAATTGACTTACATCCGAGGCAGCCGAACTCCAAAAGTTTTAAAAGTTTAACACACCCTTACTTGTTGGTACTGAACGTTCACTACAGGCTCTTAAAAACACAAGTTTCAAGGAAAGACAACAACTCCTTCCGGTACTTTTTGTGGTTAAAAGCCCCCATTTTTTCAGCCACCTCGCTGCCCTGCTGTTGGAAAAAATGCAATAAATGCAAGCACAAAGGACACTTTCCACCAGTGTGCAAACAACTAAGTGTTGAAGGGTCACAGGTTGCAGCCGTGGAACATGAGACCTCGTCTAATCACGAATTGCACACACATTTTGTATCTGTTGAGGTGGGTTAGTGAATCCTGCACTCGAAAGAAAACTAGGAAAAGAGGAACGGATCAAAGGAGATGCTGGTGCAGAAGCTACAGTCATCCCTTATAAGCTGTACAAGGAAATCACAAACAAACCTCTTCCGAAAGTTCAATCTGCTGAATCTTTTTGTTGATGGAAATCTTAAACCATTGTTGGCTTGTAATGCTTTTGTAGACTCGAGTTTATGAACTTTGGGTTGAAATGAATACTTCAGGGTGAAAACCACCTGGGAAGAAATGCCAGGTTTCTTCTAAACCTATCCTTTGTTGCGGGACTATGAAGGTTTGACAAACTACAGGCAAAAGAAAAGAGCACTCCACCCTCGAAAAATGATGTTCGAATTTGTATTGACCCAAGGGACCTAAACAAAGAACTTAAGAGACCATAAAATCCAATGGGTTCTACATACGAGGTTGCTAACCGACTAACAGGTGCTAAGAGTTTCAATTCCTTTGATGTATGCAGTGGGTGCTGGCCACTTCAATTACCTAGACACCAAGTTCATTGAGCACAAGGCCAAGAACAGCCAATTTCACAACTTATCCACAAAGATGTAGCATTTGTCAGGGGCACCCAACAGGTAATTTCGGTAAATATCTGTTCGGAAGGAAGGTCCGCTAGAATTTTCGAATATTCGGCGACTTTCGATTTTCGATTTTCGATTTCTGAACCACAGATTTCCTAGATATGTCGCGTTTTCTGACAGATTTCCAAGTTATTTCCCTAAGTTTGAAAACCGCACTGAAGAGGGCTAGAATTTTCGCAAAGAAAGCCTGAACAGTGAAGAGCGCTGGAATTTTCGCAAAAAAGGCCTGAAACCTTAAAATTGTCGATGGCGACTGATATAATCTTTATTTTCAATTGATACCTTTTTCTGCATTCTACATTTTTACTTCGCTGCAAAAATTAGTTTTTCAAGGGGGGAAACGTGCGCTGTCCGCTTTCACGCTTTTACCCCCATCGCTCCAGACCAGGGCGGATAAAGGTTGGCCGGTGAAACGAGCGCTCCGCTCTTCATTTAATGTGTGCTGCGGAGTAGGACTGGCACGAGCGCTCTTTCCGCGCTTCCGGTGCGCTTGAAGGCCGGCGAAATTTTCCTTTTTGCAAACCGGAAATCCTATTTTCTTTTTGTAATTTAAGGCTACAATGTGAAATAGCTAAATTCGTTTCATGACAGTATCAATAAACAGCTTCATATGTTTGTGTCTGTGTGCCTATAAGTCAAACTTGTTGGTCGTATAATGCCAAAATTTGAGTTTAATTTGAAAGTGTTGAATACCTCCTCCTTCCACAAAATATCACCTAATCGTCTTTCGCCGTTTCGTTTGCAAAAGCTTAACACTTCTTAACCTCAATTTTTACGTATGTTAAAGGGGGATAAATTTTATATAACATAGCAAAAAATTAGATTGATATATTTTGATATAGTGGCGTTGTACTGCTTCAAACTTTGCTTCTCGGGTGCAACGCGCCATGGCTATTCGCGCAATGCGTCGCAAATCCGGCAACCGCATGTAAACAAAATTTATTGAGGTTAGTTGTAAGGTTTTTTCGCCGTTTTTCTCTCTAAAAAAAAAACAAGGTAAACAGTAAAAACTGAGGGGAAACTAATTTTGAAGTTTCGAAGTAAAAGAAAGACGTATGAGATGTTTTTTTTTTCAAAATTAAAAAGAAGGATGATGGTGATTGAAATTAGCATAATTTCACCTTTTACGAGGTGTACGCATTTATAAGATACACGTCATCTAGTTATGAAAAGCTGTCTTTTAGTTTTGCCATAGATGACATGGATGAGATTTTCCTTCGTGTTTTAGACAGTAGTTAGTTATTTTTGTTTTGGAATAACATCGACATTGGCGAGTAGTAGAACGAAAATATAATTCAGTGGTAGAGTCATGGAAGTAATAAGAGAAACCCTTTGAAAGAGATGTTCGTCGACTCCAACTAAACCTCCTTCAAAAAATTGCAACATTTGCGTCTCGGAGACAGCGTACCAGCACAAAGGAACGAAGTAGAAGTGCAAGAAAACAAATCAAGCCGCCATAATTCAGTAACAGCGGCAGTGTCTAATGGACACACCACATCGCAAGCCCTGAGACTGTCAAACCCTGACCGAAGTCAAAAACAATTGTCGAAAACAAGCGACATTTCTACAGTAAGCATAGTCCCAGTCCACTGCATCACACCTTTTTGCTCGGACGCGCTCGTTTCACCGCCCAACCTTTATCCGCCCTGCTCCAGACCTTTTTTTTTTTATTGCTCGCGCAATGTCAGGCGTTGTCGACCCATGCACGCCCAGATATTGGCTGTTTTGCAGTCTCTATTTTTACTTTTTTACTTGTCAAGAGTCGACCTCTTAATTAGCTTCATAGTGTAAGGAAGAAAAGCTACCGGTAAGTGAGTGAAGCGAGCTTTCCTGTGCGAAAGAGAGTATGACTTAACTCCTTTCAGTGTCCTTTCAGCTGTCCTTTGACAGCTGAAAGGATAGTTTCCGCGCCAAACTTTGAGAACAGCGTGGCTAATAATACAACTAACGTCTCAAGTAGATTTGCTCATTTTTACAGTTTTTTTTCCCACGCTGAAAACTTAACCGAAAGTCATTGTGTCTAATCAGGGGCACCTAACGAGAATATATTTGGAGACATCGGGTCGTTGGGTGCCTTTGATTTGTATGAAAGAAACCACAACAGGGGTCTTTTTGTAAACTGAAATATGTCATCACAAGTGCCCCTGTGTTTACATACTTTATAAAAGCAAAGAACAGTTGAAAGTGTTGATGCCAGCAGCACACGCCGCCGTGCAGTGATCATGCAGGAGGGCAAACCAGTTGCCTTCAGCTCAAAGACATTTGACTGCCTCTGAGAAGATTTGAGCCAATATTAAAAGAGAGCTACCAGCTATTGTGTTGGGAGAGCCAACGTTTGTTGAGACAACAAATCCCAAGCATGTTCCAGGCCGTCAAATAGTAGGGATGACTCGTTAGTGAAAGACACGCGAAATTATGAGCTCATGATCTGGGAAAAGGTGGTGATGGTGGGATAAAGGAAGCCCTTCCTCTCCCTAGTTTCTCCCCGTTTGTTTTCGTGTTGTCGCTCTCTCAATTCAAATGCTCGATTTTGAGGACCCAACTATCTCGGAGCCAGGGGCAAGCTAACAAATAACAAGAGTCAATATTTTGGAAACTACTGAATCGGCTCCCTCCAAGACTACAGAAGATGCTGCTAAAACGCACAAAGTATGACCTTGAGGTACGTATGTCCAAGATGATGTAATCGGAGTTTATCGTGTTAAGAAACTTGGGTTCGAAAGCATCACCCTGAGAACTGATGAGACATCAAAGGGGTGTTGGCGTATACTTTAAAAGGGCGGCCCTTTGAGAAAGAACAAGTTGGAGAACTTGCAAGAGAATTTTGGAATTTCAGAGAAAAGTTGAGTATAGAGGATGGCATGTTTAATCAGACAGAATTGTATTCCCAACGTGTTATATAAAATTCAT